CTGCGTCACCCAAAGTCTTAACTTAACGCTCGCTTTTAAAAGTATGCGTTTCACGGCCTACCAAGTAATACTACGTTGTTAGAAATCGCAAGATTCCGAAAAAAATTTAAAAAAATCGAGGTTCCTAAGTAAACTATGAAGGAAGAGAAGGACTGCTTATGCAAATAACCAAGTGAATAAAGCAGTACATGAAGAAGTATGCTCAAAAGCAACACTTTTGCGAATTATGCTTTGATTGTAGAAGACGCATAACCATAATATTTTGGCCCGCAGCGTTTAATAGCGTATAAAATATCTTGGATCTCAAGAAACATTGGATTTGGGCCATTTTGGCCCACTTCTTCATTCAACACACTGGTCTGAATTGAGAGATTCCCTAGTAGACATGGCTCTGCGCCTCCAGCCAACTCGAATATATATGAAACCAACCCTAAAATGTCCATTTCCCCATTTCTTGGGTAAGACAATCTGCTGTGCTTATATAGCCACCTAAACAGGATACAGAAATAGAAACTACACACCCGAGTAAGCAAGACGGTCCTGCGCATGATTCCAGAAAGGGTAACTATCGCCTCGTCTTAAGCTTTAAACTAGACCTATCATAAGCGTAAACCGTAGCCTTAATCTTAGTGGTTAAAGGGTTTCATGGGTGGAAAATTAGGATACGCAGTGGAATATAATTTAATAACTACCAAATGCATTTTTATTTTTTGTATTTATAAGTGTTGTTGACTTGTATCTGTAGATTTACCTAATCTGTAGTATCGTTTAACGTATTGAGGAAAAACCCTATTATCAAATAATAGGTTTCTTGGAATTCCCGAAAAATAGAAATGGTGATTGGGAGGTCGTCTGCTTCAACTTATCGTCCTGAAGTAACATTAGTATTGTCCGCGGTGCGAAGCGGAACAACTTACTCCCAGCGGCCGCAAGAAACAACTTCGACTCCTTTTTTTTCACTGAACACTTATTTTTAAAAAATGTCCTTTTCTGCCCACCCCCCAAAACCCTAAAACCACCATTTTCGTAGGACAAATGCTGGGACTAGGGGTATAAGGGGGGACCACATAAGCAATATTTGCCCCTCATCCTTTATTTAATACCTTCCCTAACTTCCACCCTACACGTCATACTTACTTACTGTAACTCTTACCTTATACTTAACCTTAAACCAAACCCTAAATATAATCTGTGGAATTCAGCGCATAGCCACCTGTATTGTGGGCGTTTTTCATTCTCGTGTTCTATGCATGCAGCCATATGAGTCATCATTGCCGAACATTCTCTATGGTTCCTATCCTTCAGACTATAAAAAGTCCATAAAAGCACTGTCACCTCCTGAATGGACAAACAATGACTCAAAATTGAAAAAAAAACACATCGATAGCATGTGATCGATGGGCTGCGACTTGGCGCTGCTTATGACGAGTGCTGCATGCAAAAGTCATGACTAAATTTGACTTGATAGTTGAGCATATATTTGGTTATTATATTTTGCTCCATTTATGAAATTTCTCCTAAGAAGGCATTTTAGTTAGGAAAAATGTCTATCTTGTTTAGTTTATTAAGGATAATGGGCACAGAGTTTGCCTAAATCGGGAGGAGCTTAATAGAGAAGACATTTCTCATACTATTGCGTAAGGCAGAGGCAAATGTCTTATTAGTATGTATTATCCTATGGGAGAACCCAAATTAACTAAGGAAAATATAAAAATTCCCTTTCAGTAGCGGAAAATGTAGTCCAAATTTGCCTAAGTGCACTTGAAGCCAATTTTAAGGAATTGCATTTATTTCCAGGAATAAGGAACGATTTCACTTTTACAATTCATTTTTTTCTGAACTGTGAAAACGTTTGCCTCAAAATACAGTAAGCGAACGTTTTGATTGCATTTTGTTCTACCGCCTCAAGTATTAGGGACGAAATCAAAACTCCCCATATATTTTTTTTGTTAAGATCAAAGTAAAAGCAGATCGTATTAAATCTTAATCATGTAGAAACATACTTTTTGTACACTATACTTTCCAAATATGTGTAATTTAGAAACGAAATAGACGGAAGGTTATGAATTACTGCAATATCTTAGTAGAAATGCGGTGACGCTTCTGCATTCGCGAGCTTAAAATAGAACCTGGAAGTAATTCAATATGGCGGAAAATACTCTAATATAAAGGGAAAGGTAAGTGCTTCTTTTCCAGCCCAAACTGTATTATTTGTCTTCAGGCTAATTAAACAACTTGTCAAAAATATCCATTTTTATTCTGACATTACCTTTGGAAATATTAAGATGCGCATATATGCGTCAGCTGTATATTTAATTAAAGTTCCTTAAAGTACCCAGTGACTAAATAACAGTGGTCCGGATCTCAGAGTATTCTGACTTGGGGTTAGATATTGCTAGCTCAGGACGGATAATGGGTCATCCCCTTCTGTGTTGTCTTTTTTACGTTTGGAATGCTCTACTATATACGTACCAACCTCAACAACGAAGAAAAGGCATGTGAGTTCCACTCCGAAAGCCGCAGTGTGTTTAATCGTAAAGTAGCCAGAAAATCCACTAGAAAATGTCTCTGGCCACAGAGTGTATTGTCACTTACTAGAACATGTCTCGAAAAA